TTGCCACGTGCAACATGGTAAGTGAATTGTTGCTAAGTGAATTCTTCATATTTCTAGATGGTTCAACTTCGAAAAGGTCATTGAATCTTTGGTAGCTGAAAATGTATACCACACGAATATTGCCAATCTTCAAACCTATGCCAAGGATGTGTGTTTTATAGAAGACGATGAACAGTTTCATACCATGTTGAGTTTCTATCACGACCTTGGTATGATCGTGAGACACCGCAATACAGTCATTCTGAAGGTGCAGTGGCTGGTTAGCCTATTCAAGAAACTTGTAACCATTCCACCATTCAAAAAAGCGGTAGGAAAATTTAATTTACTGTGCACCGAGTTCATCAAATAATGCAGGATGTGTTACCTTTCTGCCACTTCACATAAAAAACAATGATTGTCTGTTTGTTAGTTTGATTGTTTCATCATATGGTTGGCACCTTCTACAACATTTTAAGTTTTCTTTATAACCTGCATGTCTTCCCTCTTTCTCCTTTCAATATTGCGTAATGTAAACAAAGTGTTCAATCATTTATTGCAATATTGTTTGGGAGGGGGTGAAGGGGGGTAAGGGGGACGTTCAAGTATCCAATTAGAGATGAATTACAAGATTTTTGTTCTTACGTCGAGTGGAGATTTTTTGTCCACCCTCTAAGGGGAGGCGTACCAACTTCGTTTTAACCACTAATTGCAGCTTTAGTAATGGGGAAAGAGCAGATTTTTTAGGTAGGTCCACTGTAAAATGAATAGAGCATTTTCAAGAAAAAACTGTTGTGAACCTATTTTGAATAGGGTCTTTGTGGTTTCAGGATCCTGTGCATTCTAAGTACTGGCTTGAGCTCGAGAGAAGTGGTGTCCTTAAGATGGAGCTTGTTGATCACGTTTTCTCCACTCTTATTCAGCAAGGCGTTAACAAAGAAGACATCTTGGACATGATGGAACAGTTTGGTTTGATTGCCAAATACTCACCATCCCTGGCTGACGTTAAGTATTTTGTCCCATGTCAACTGAGATCCTCACCTAAAGAGCTTTGTGACATGGTACCGTCTCCTACAGATCCTTGTCCTTTGTATCTTCATTTCCAAGAAGGTTTTGTCCCGCATGGTCTCTTTACCCGCCTTGTCTCAAAATCAGTGTCCTGGTGTTGTGCGAATGGATCGTCACAGGAACCAAAACTCTACCAGAATGGTGCATGGTTCGTTCTTGAAGGAAGCGTCATGCATGATATGATTCTGATTTGTAAAAAGAACGTCATAAAAATCCTCTTGAGACAAAGAACTGAAGATGAAGCAGTTCCAGTGTCTCACTCAGCTTCAGAGGAAGTTGCTAGAAGTGTGCGATTGTTTGTAGAGAAAGTTCTAGAAAAGATGTCAGAGGAGTTCCCATACCTGAGCAGGCTGCAGTATGAATTTTGTGTTGAATGCCCCTACTGTCGGCAGGGAAGCCGCCAGTGCACAAACCACAAGCAAGTGTCCTGTGCAGAAGATGACTGCTTACACCTGCTTGAATTAAAACAAGGGCAGAATTTGATATGTATGGAAAGCATGTCTGAGAAAGTACTTAGAGTTTCTGGGCAAGAAAAATGGTTCTTAAACCAGGTTTGAAGCATTCTTGGTATGTCCCTCGCAATAGTGAACGGAGGTCTATTAAAAAGAGCTTATGTTGGCTGCAATGATATTGCATTGTGCTAGGTTTTTGAACAGTTTCAGTCACTGGCATCCTCTGAATTGAAATACTAAATTTAGAAAATCGTCCTGTGCATTAGATAGTTTAAAATAGCTTACCTCAAATCCGTAAATACTTCAGCAATACTTTACGAGATTCTATATTGCGCAATTGCGGACTTCACTTTTTTTTTCGGTGATGAATACGTATAAGGAGTTTGCAAAAGGTCTGTCGATCTGGATTTTATTTTCGTGATAGCAAACAGGATGTCATACTCTTTTGACAAAATAAGGTTGTTTCAGTTAAAATTGTTTTATGTATCGTACTTGCAAAATGACCAGCTTTCCTTTAAATGTATCTCTGTTGTAATTTTCCAAAAGGTTTTGGCTCCGTCAGTGATAAATACCTCACAAGCTGCACCAGTTGGTGGTCACCCCGCAAAGTCCAACAAAGCAATGAGAGTTACTCTTCTGGCCAATGAGTGGAATTCATCAGTGGGGGGTTTGTCCACCATCAATCGACAGCTTGCCATACTTTTGGCCAAACGCACTGAATTGGAAGTCTCTCTCCTAGTTCCACAATCTGCTTGTTCTGAAGAAGAGAAGAGAGCTGCACAAAGTCACAAGATTGTCATCAAAGAGGCAGAGAGACGTCCAGGCTTCGACCCTCTTGATTGGTTGAGCTTTCCCCCGAAAGACCTTGTCATCGACGTGGTCGTGGGTCATGGAGCCAAGTTAGGTAAGCAAGCCCAAATCATTAGAAAGTCTCACTGCTGCCAGTGGATACAAGTAGTGCATACTGCGCCTGAAGAGCTTGGAATGTTTAAAAACGCCGCCAGAGCAGTGGTTGAATTGAAAGAAAACGCCTACCATCTGATCTTTGTGGGTGCACCTGAAGGAAAACAGGAAGCAGTTATGGAAAATTTGCTGCAAAGTGGCATATTAAGACGACAGCTGACAGTGAGAAAGTTTTTGCAAAGTAAGGAGAAATTGAAAGAGTGTTTTTGTGAAGTTGATCTCTGCATTATGCCATCCCGGACGGAAGGGTTTGGTTTAACCGCATTGGAAGCCTTGTCGGCTGGTCTTCCCATTCTTGTTAGTGGAAACTCGGGATTGGGAGACGCACTGCGCACTGTACCATCCGGCAAATCTTTTGTGGTTGATTCTGAGGACCCCAAAGTGTGGGCTGAGGCAATTGCTGGTGTCCGAAAAAAGAAGAGAGCCCAACGTCTTCAAGACATTGAACGACTTAGGGCAGCATATGAAGAGCATTTTAGCTGGGAGAAGCAGTGTGACCTTCTTGTCGATAAGATGTGGCACAAAGTATATGGTGCAGGTGTGTTGATGGTTTTTATACTTCGTTTCATAGAAAAGTGTTGTGTTGTTGTATCCCGCATTAATCCTGTCATTGATGTGAAAACATCATGTACCACGAAATAGGTTTCTGAAATAAAACATCTTGTACCACGAAATAAGTTTCTGAAACAAAGTCTGATAGATAGTTTTAAATTTTTTTGTATAACATCACTGTTTGCAAAAATGAAAACGATTTGCACCAGCTGATAGGAGTTAAATAACAAAGCTAAAGAAAGAACCTTCTAAAAAACAGTTGTATCCATACATTTGTAAACCTTTATTTTTAAGCCTGACAAAGTTTATATTGTAGATAGAATAATAAAGATGGTGGGTTTTTCATCTCGGTAAAACTTACCATATTTCGTTTTCTATTTACAAAACATGATGCTATCGACATTGCCGATCCTAGTAGTATGCTGGACGCTTGTCATCTATGAGCTTGGTAATGGTTTTGCTCGCTATAGAGTTTCTGTGGCTCTGCGGTAGAGCATCGGAGCGCGGAATCCAAAGGTCTGAGATTTCATGCTTCATGAGGACTCAGAATACTTTTCTCTGTCCCACGCTTTTGACAAGACAAAAAAACATCTTTCTCTAAATTTGATATCGGTTATTAGCCTTACTGAGAACTCCTCGCCGTATTTTTCAATTTTTTTAAGTCTTCCCTCGTAGCCGGAAGAAGAGCCTTGTTCCTGTCAGTGAAAGTTTTGGATCAATTTGAGTTCTCATGAAGTATTTGTACATACATGATCCTGTTAATAAAGAAAGATCTCGTTCATTTGATGGTTGCGCCCTCCAAATAAAACGAAATCCGAGTAGCTGATTGAATAACTGTCCCTCACAGCCCTTATTTGGGCGGATAGTAAACCACTGGCAGTTTACTTGTGGCCAAGCCAGGTCATAAAAAAGTTTCACGTAGCTTGTTGTACCGATACCAAAAGAGTTCCCGGTGGATAAAAATGATATTTATTGTAAACTTTAACTTCGGTCTTAAGTGTGACGGATTCTCTTCCAACTACAATTTATGATTCAAAGAAAAACAGCTAATATGATTTTTTTTCAAGGACTGCTCGATCGAATCATCCAGAATCTTCAGAGGATGCAACTCTGCGCAAGCAAGGTCGAAAGTAGCACTAACTTGACAGAAGAGTTAACAGCGATTGTAACAGATAAGGGCTTTAGAATTTCTAACAATCCAGGGTCAGGAAACTGCATGTTCCAGGCCTTGTCAGAACAGCTTGAAACCGTCAATGGAATCAAAATCCTACATGGCCAGTTGAGACGATCTTTAGTTCAGTACCTCGAGGAAAACCCAAAACTGGTGAGTTACTGTAAGCTACAGTTACTGTAAGCTAGGTACAGTTACTGTAAGCTAGGTAAAGAGAACTTGGGGTTGATCATCAGTTTTTGCTGCTGTGTTTATTTCTCTCTCCGTCACACGAACTGTTACTCCTCCTTGTTGGGACACTAGTCCTTTTCACACCAGATATCTGCAAGCATTTTTTCAGGTTGGCTTGACAATTTTCCTTGCGTTTACATGTACACTCACGCGTAGAGAGAGGTGTACTTTGACAGTGAGTTGTCTTGTACAAGAGTACGATAAGACAGTCACGCTATACAGGATTCTGTGAAGAGCTGTTATCGTGGATCTCAATTTCTCAAGCAAGAGGCACCGCAGTCTCCGTCCATGCGCATTCTCTTGTATTCAGATGGACTCTCTTGCAGAATGTTGTACTTAGTTATGTTAGTCGCAAGCTTAGAGAAATATGCCTTTCAGAATCAATGCGCTACCGTCAGTTTAGCTCGGCTCTAAATGAGGCGAAGTTGTTTGAAGACCCTCCCACCGGTCTAAGCGATATCTTGAACGACTATGTCTTCCTTTCTTTATTTTTGACTTAGTTAACGTTTTACTCCCGGTGAACAGGTTGACTCTTTTGTGGCGATATCTATTTGGAATCGAAATATTTATTGCTGTTTTTGTTACAGCCGGATGGAACAGATCTGTCTCACTTTGTTCATGGACATGAAACGTGGGTTGATTACTTAACATGCATGAAACAAGATGGCGCTTGGGGAGATCACCTCATTCTCTGTGCAGCAGCAAATTGCTTTAAAACGTGCATTCATGTGGTCAGCAGTCTACACAATGATGTAGTCATCAGGCCACATTGTCATGTTGATGAAAGCAAGCCACTAGTACTGGGACATATTCATGAGGTACACTATGTCAGTCTTCAACCCATACAGGGTAAGAGTGGAACACAGCACAGTACACATGCTCTTCAATGTGAAAATGATTACTAAAACTGAAGTTGGAGCACTCGGACTGTTAACTCTTCTCGAATCTTTGCGAGTAGTCAGATTTAACAGTGGGAATGAACGAAGCTTTCCACTTCCTTACTGGTACAACACAGCAGTGTCTTAAGTGACTTAAGATGCACTTTTGCTATTGTTTCATGAGTCCTACAGAATCATAAATTAAGCTTCAAACTATATTCTTTCTCCATGGCTCTCAGAAATGATAGCAATGTTACTTGAAAATGATCATTTCTAGTTTGTCGTGAAAAGATGGTAACCGAAGAAAACGTCTGAAAAGCAAATTTGACATTCATTCATCTAGTTTTTTAGCCATACTAAGATAAGTTATTTGTATTTGAACAAGAGTCACTCGCTGAGAGAACTTTGCGAAGTAGTCAGAAGTGTTCACGAACCACACTTGCTAAGTATGTAATCGACCTCATGTACGCCTTGCCCCGTTATAACCCGTATTATATCCGGGACGTTACCTCTCATATGATGGGCTGAGTTTTTGTTGATCCGCATCTTTGCCCCCAGTGTTTTTCTCGAGGTTCTCCTTTACTACCCATAAATCAACATTCCCAATTCCAACCCCTATGCGGAGAACCATTTTTGGATATGCAACTGTGAAATTCTTGTTTGTTTTCTAATTGCAGTGTTTTTCGTTGTGTTTACAGGCTAAAGTTACTCAAACGGGTATGGTTTCAAACCGACAAGACTTTCACAAAGAATCAGAAGGCAACTATTAAATACTGGTGTTGACCATGTGCTCGACTGAAAATATCAGCTTCAGATGAAACATAGCTTTTCAGAGGTCGTCGGTTGTTCGGTTTGGATGAGCTTTGTCAATGATGCTGCTGCTATCGATTTTTCGTGGTTTTATTGGTATTTTGATTTGAAAGAAAGAGTTTTTTTTAGAAATTGCTATCAATATTCGGCTGAATATTTAAAGTTGATTAATTTTAGGCAACTTTTGCGTCTAAATACATTATGATGCCGAGTAGTCGTTATTCACCCCTCACCAACAAGAAATATTCTGGTAGCAGCTCTTCTCTAAATTTATCGTCAAGAAATGGAAAGTCACAAAAAAGTGTTTCTCTGCTTTAATCTTGTTTTACATGTACATAAAGGTTTTAGCCTGATTACTTGGGATATAGCTTTTACAACCACATCGATCGAATGTTTAGCTGGTGAGAAATGATCCTCGTGAAAATGCGTTTAATGCAATTGTTTTAATCGTGCATATTGTATACTATGTAAGTTCCTTTCTCTGAAAATAATTTAGCAAGGAAATTTTAGATAGATGACCCTTTGGTCGGGAAAACCAAATATAGGGCAGGATTCGTGTTGGAATGACAACGTTAATGTTTAAATTTCCCTAAGAAATAGATAGAGCGTGTTTATTTTTAGTGAGAACTGCATCGTGAAACTCACTTTAGCTAACCACAACCAAAAAAAACCAAGAGCTTAACCTGTGAAATTTTCAAAAGACTCTTGTTAAAGGGAAATTCGTGTCCAACTTCTAAAAGACGAGTTTTCTGTGTTTGCATTAAATCACTGCGGCCCAGTCTGCCTAGCTTTTTACGCTTCCAAATTTTATTCTGTGAAAGAAATGACAATCTTGAGATATCTTGTAATTCACTACAATTTACTTTGTAATTGCACGACTTATAATTTATTACTGAAAGAGAACGCCTTAACAAAAATGTGAATTCAATTATATCAATCAGAATTTCAGAAATTATAGTTAGACCCCCACTCTATGAACGTAAACTCTTTCAAAATTTTAACCTTTTTACCTTTAATCTAACAGAGAAACGGGTGAGGATATGACTCTCACCTGTTTGTAAGAGAGCGCTTTTCGATTAGGTGTGGTATAACCGAAACCAAACTTACCCTAACGACCGATCAGGAGAAAGGAAAATATGATACAGAGCTACCAAGAGCTCAAAATGAAGCGCGGTTGTTTTTAGTTTTGAGCTTGCTTGATTTTGAGAATGGCCACGATTTTTCTTTGCCGAAAAATAGTAAAGTTAAACAAAATCAACGCTATCCAGGATTATTCTCGATGCTCAATTTAAAATTTCTCTTTCAGGTCTTCTTTTTTAACAACCTCTTTGAAAATTGGAGAGATAAAACATTTCCTTGAAAGCTACCTCACTGCTCATCATCGCACCATCTATTGAATGAATGGCGGAAGGTTTATTAAAAATTGGTTTGTCATAAACTGAGTTTAAATAGAAACCTGAGCTAAGGCCACAAACGGAATTTTTACGTTAGTCAATAAACCTTGACAAGAATTACTAGTTTAATTTCTCCTAACAATATCCCCCCCCCGATCAAACACCGAGGTCATGAGTTGAGAATGAGGAAAGTGATCACCAACTGAAGAACTTCTTGATGTCCTTGATTGCTAAACAATTTCTCCTCCCCAGGGCTATAACAAAGTAATAGAGAACGGTAAACACTTTCGCAATTTTACCTTTTTACCAGTGTAGATAAGTACATATGAAATAACTGCAGTGAACAGTTTGAGAGAAGAACACAACTGCTCTTGTAAACAATGCACTGCTGTAGGGCTTTATGCAATGTGTTGCTCAGTAGCAAAGTCTTGTAGTTATTAGAATTCCATAACCCTATGTTGCATAGCTGACTGAGGAAATAAATTATATAGTAACATGGGCATCAACAGGTATCTAAAAAAGGAAGATTTATACACGAGTCTTAATATTTATAGAGCTGAGTTATCGGTCCAAATTAAAGCTCATAGCTATGGGATGTTGTCCAGTGGTTTAAACAATACAAGAAAGAAAGTTGGAAAACTTAATTTTCAACAACTACAGGGGAAATACAGGGTTTTTATAGTGGCTTGCAAGTTACTGTTAGGTATTACTTGTATTTTTCAACAAACAGTCAGAACAAAGTACATGTTCTCCTTGACCTATGAAGATACTTGTGAACCTGCAATACAACAAATTAAAATAAGTGGTATACCATCATTATTACAAGCTTTTTTGTAACACTGTTACAAAGAAACTTGAAACAGGTATTATTCACTACGAAATGCAATTTTTGTCTTTCACATCTGACATGGACCTTCATCAAATCAGACACATGCAAAAGCACAGACGAAAATATAGTTATGATAATTTGGAGCCCGCTCCAAAAATGAAAAGACTGCAACGGATATATTTTAGAAACAAAGTCATATTCAAAGTCAGACAACAGCACAAGAGTGAGACAATCCCAACTATTGATATCTGCATTAATTAATTCAAAGAGAAAATCAGGGAAGGTCCTGACTGGTATGCTGTGTATACAATGTTATCACGATGAAATATACTTCCTTGCTTTCAGACCATTACGATTACAATTTCATAATATATCTTTTTTAACACACACATCAATTGGCATGTACTTATCACCCTTGGGAAGGGGGACTCCTTAAATAAAAAGGACTGGGGTGCTCGTTGTACCTTTTAGGGGTTAAAAAAGGTGGGCTTGGTACCCCTTAGGCTGTTTAGCCTCAAAAGGTCCTCAGCAGCAGCTCCTGTGATATCTTTTAGGGTATTGTACCAAAAATATGTGACAGTGCGTTGTTGTAGAATTGGTGTCTTTCAGGGATGAGAAAAAATTTTATGCTACGCCTACAAATCAGGAGCTTGGTATCTCTTAGTATTTCTTTTAGAACCTCTGCGCACCACGAATGGTCAACACTCATAACAGCACGTCTACCTGTAGCCCGACTTACGATCTTGGATCGTCTAGTTTGGCTATAAAATGAATGTCACTCTTAATGATCGCTCGGCGGCCCGTTGAGACGATAGATCCCCTTTCATGATGGCCTTTCATGCCTTGAGAATTGATTTTTATTACGGTTAAGACTAGAAAATGCTTTACTGGCAAAAGGTTTCAAGTCCAAGATGATTTAAGTTCATTATTGAGCTTTAAGCTGAAAATCTGTCTCAAGTAGAATGTATCAGACCAAGCAACACAATGTCGATTATTTTGAATCCGCCTTTTGAAGTACGGTAAGCTCATTTCAATTACAAATAATTTCAAATTGAATATTCATATTTGCGCTTAGTTTTGGACGTGGATCGAGCTTACAAACTGTAAGAAATTGAGCGTTTTCTTCAGCTTCTATGAAATCTAGAAATACGTTATTTCAACCCTCTTGCCTTGGATACGGGTCGGCAAGTTTTTCTTATGCTGGATCGAATGGTTCATATACCATGTCTAGGTTTTGTGCTTTTCACTTTACCACTCCGGACATTGCTTCAGGTAAATAACCTATCGAAAGTTACTTTTGGAAAGAACGTCAGTGTTTCTATCTCGTTATGAACCTTGTGATAGTAATTTATGGAGTTAAATGTACGGAGGAAGAGCGTAATGCACAAAGCACAATGTAGGACCAACCCTCAGCGATAGCGGCTGCCATTACAGTTCTTCTTGATCATGACCTCGGTGGCAACGCGGGAAATTCGTACTTTATCGTTAACGTAGAAATCATTTATTGACTAACATGTACTTCAATTTTCATTCTTGTACATGTTCTTTTTTTTTTTCTTCAATGAATGAGTTGCTAGCTAGAGATCGCCACACGGCAAACATTGCAAGTTGCTAGAAAGGAAACAAGGCGAAAGGTTGTTTAAGAAATGGATTGAGATAATTTTTATACAAGGGAAATGTAAGTTGTTGTTTGAAAAACCACGAAATAAGTTACAAAATATACCGATAAACTTCTCTCTTTGCGTCAGGACTATTGTGAAGTCGTCAACTCGTAATGGTCTCGAAATATTACAAAGTTTGTTATCATGAAATCGCCATGAATAACTCGCATTCAAGTAATTTCCAAAGTTTGCTCACTGGCTGCCCCAGAAATCTTTGGGTAAACACGAGGATCTGATGAGCGTCAACTCATTCGTTAGATTTTATAATATTATAGTGCGTTGACCTAAGGCGTGTTTTAAGGTTACTTCCCACCTTCGCGAGTGTCCTAAAAAAAAACTCGTATGCGGACTAGTTTTACTAAACTCTTAGCAAACTATACATCAGAAGAAAGTTTAACAATTGCAGTCTACGAAAGAAACATAATTAAAGCGATTTTTCATATGGGAAGCTTCAGGACCCAATAAGGCGTGAAACGACCGAGGGTTATTCTTGTGAATTTATCGGGTATCGGATGCCGCAGCACCAGCAAAATGTCTCCCCTATGTTTCCCCTATGTTTCTATTCACCCAAGTGCCGTGTGAAAAGTAGAGTAACTTCAAAAAAATATCTTTATGTTTGCTAAGTGAAGTAAACGTTTAATAGTTGAAATGTGATAAGTGTAAGTAATAAACTTACTGTTTTTAGGATTGTTTTTTTGGGGTTTTTGTGCTGCTCTGCGTATGAGGGCTTTAAATTCATAGAAATTTTGCCCTTTGGCGGAGTCGGCGACATTAAAGAAAAGGCCGACTTTGTTTATCATTTGCAGTTTATGAGCTTCAGTGGTGATAACAAATGCTTGAACTTCCTCCCTTCATTGCGTGACGAGAGCAAAAAAAAAGGCTTCGAAGGAGATTTGGCAACCCTGCGATCCAGCCTTACTTATAAGCATTTGGTCACCAGAGTTTTCTCGCCCACGCGAACGCATGAAGCCTTCAGGAACACAAGCCCGCGAGAGGTCTGTCCAGCGTCTAGCTCTGACAATAGGGACCTTTAGCATCCCGTTTGCTGCAAACGGCAAACGGCAAACGGCTGCTAGCGGTTTGAGGTTTCCCGTTTGCCGTCGTCACCAAAATTGAATTTAGCATGGCGTTGACGTCTTTTCGCGGGAAAAGCCTACCCTTTAAGAGCCTTTTTATCTTCTTCAAGTTATTTTGAGATAAGGCCATTCATCCTTTCTCTACAAGCTCGCCCTCAGAGCACGACGGGTCTTTTGTCTTCTGAAAAAAAAGGGGAAAGTACCCTCGGAAATTCCTTATAATCAGCGGGACATTTTGGCCTTCGCTGGGCCGCTTCGGTCGCCAGCATCACCTCTTGGCAAGTGTTTGGCTATCTAAAAGGCATTTTCTAGAAATGGAAGAAGGCATACATTGATACAGAACTCCACAACTGTGCTTCTTTGCATGCACATGTTTAGGAACTCCGAGCCGCCATTTTTTTTTCAAGTTATTTCGCCACTCGGCTATCTTCCATTTAGATCATGCAAAATACATTGTTTTTTTAATAAAAAAAAAACGACATTTGGGTCCATAAATGGTAGAAAATTCTTACTAAAAGTGTCAAACGTACGTTGGTTTTGTTAAGGGGCCAAAAAACCTTCCCGCAAGTCACTTACGGCTGGAGCGCCTTTTTCCCGTCGAAACTGGAACCGCAAACTGCAAACGTGATGGCAAAGCGGTGGTCACGTGACCTCCTCAGGTTCGCCGTTTGCCGTAAACGTGATGCTAAAGTTCCCTAATTAATGCCAGATCACTGAAAAACCTTTTCCCGACATGTCTTACAACGCATGCTCCATCTCGGCCCGTAAGGGGTGGGCTGAAATTCGCCAGGAGCCTACCCCCCTTAAATAGACACATGCTGCTGATTTTAATTTTAAAGTTGGCTTCTTCAGTTTCCAAAGTAACAAAGCGGTTCAAAGAGTGGTGGTAAGTACGATATATAATTGTTCATGCATATGAATGTGCTGATGGACTAATGCGGCATCTCATTAATTTTACAATACATATTTCAGCGCCTTTACAACCAGAGCTGCTCATACCTAAACCATTTCTTTATTGATTCATATACTACCACATAATTTATGGCCTTATAAGGACGTCGTTCTGAGTAATAAACACCCTCTTTGTTTTAACAGTTTTTTCATATATCAAGGAGAACAATTCTCTTGCGCATTAAAATCAATACTTCGGTGTTGAGTCAAATTCGTCTCATTCAAACCTACCAGCGCTTGGACAACAATCAAAACGCCTTTGTAAATCCAATGAAATAAACAAGCCTAATCTGTGCACAAAAAACGTCCTGAGAAGTTTACAAGGTAAAGTGTACACATCCTGTCAATCGCAGGGTCCGTTATTTTCTGCAAAACAAATATTCCAATTGAAGAAGAACGGAAAGTTTTGTTGGTGTTTGTAGTGTAAGAATGGGCGAGATAGGGCCATTCAAAACTGAAATTTATTTGATGAAAATGTTATCACATGAGCAGAGATTCTTCTTGCCATAAAATCTCCGTTTGGTCACATCTAATGTTATTCTATCGGCCGGCCTGAGTAGCTCAAGGTGTCGGTGGTAAAGAAGAGGATGTACAAATCGCACAGTATTGTTACATTTCCAATTAATTCAAGGCGGTCAAATCTATTTTTATTTGATAAGTTTATTTTGTGCGCTTGAAGGAAAGCGATTAATTTTCAGGTTCCTGAGACAAATCGAACTTGAATCTTTACAATTGGTACCTGTTGTTCCCTCTTCGCTTTATCAATTTTTTTTTATTTTTCACCTATCAAGTTTTCACGCCTGTCTTTCAATGGTTATTTGCATTTATCTTTGTTTTGCAGAGAAGGTTCTATTTCAGTTTCTTACTTTTGGTTTCATTGGTCACACGACAAGAACATCAAACAAGACAGGCTTCTTTTCTAAAAGGTTAGTAAAACAAATTAAATTTAGAAATAACATTTTTCCCCTTCACAAAACTAAAATATTTTACACTGAATATTCAATGGCAGAAGATTTAAAAGTCGAAATTATCTTAGATTTTGTCAAAGATTTGTTGCTAAAAACTTGCCTTAAAATGATCTTATCTCCAAAATAAAATGATTAACTCAGCTCTAGGGAGGCCTTTAACTTCCACGATCTAACTACAAAGTCTCCCTTCTAAACAAAGATGTGATGTTTTTAATTTGTGTCTTAGGTTTTCCAAACGAATTTGGTTTTTCCGATTAAGATGTTAATTTTTTTTCACAAAAAGTTATTTTTATTCATCTCTGCTTTGCAGAGAAAGCTTTATTTCAGTTTCTTACTCTCGGCTTCCTCTGTCATGCGATCAGAATACTAAACAAGACACACTTCCTTGCTCAGGGGTAAGTAGAAAAACAGAGAAAACTTAGCTTACATTCCTTTCACCTTTAAAAAGAAAAGTGTCGTCACCACCTTAAATAGCGCGCAACAGAAATGAAATTCAAGAACTGCAAATTCTGATGTAAGAAGGAGCCCAACAAAATATTTTTCAAAGAGCATTGTGAGCGAAACGGAAAGTCGTGTTGATACATCTCTGACCAAGATCCTATCAACTGCGGTTTAAAAATCTCGTCGCACACATTTTGAGTGAGTTTTTTAATCGATCAAACTCAGTACTTTGTTCTCGCACGAGCTGCCTGCATTACGGCTTTCGGTCTCATCCCTCAAACAATTAAAACTCTAAACAACGCCATTTTATTTTTAAAAAGGTTAGCAACTGAAAAACTAAATGAAATAATAATTAGCCTCTTCTCGATTTTTTTTTCAAAAATAAAAAATAAAAAACAAAAAAACTATTGATGGCAAAACGTCCCAGCACTCAGAATTAATGATCTTATCAGCGATACCTCTTTTAGTTCCTTCACATTACCTCGTTGGTCAGTAGGGAGAATTTGGTGTTGCTTTAAGAAAACACCCTTAGCTGACAAGTATTCTCTTCGCTTGTTCACTGAATAATATGTTGATTTTGGAAAGAAAAGCAACATGCACCTCACTTCTGTAACTCGAGGGTGTTGAGAAATCAGTCAGAGGGCAACTTATAATTAAAAACACGAAACTCTTGCACTAGCTCTTTGTATTCTTCTTTGCTTTACAGAAAATTTGCAATCAGTTTCTTGATTTTGGTCTCCTACCTATCCTAAGATCTTTTCTCTTTCAAAGGTGAGCGACGAAACATTTCAGGATTTATTCAGAGGATTGAGACTTGCTTACATGTACAATAGAAATTAATGATTTGATTTATGATTTATAAGATTCGCCCACAGGCAGGGACACCGCAACAGCTTGCGCCAATAACTTCGGGCCCAGTAGACCCACCCATCCCACCCAGGGGATGACATCCATCACACAGTAATCTCGCGTTTGGGAAAATAACGTCTCCTACCCCCAACCCTGCAGGAGACGGGACCTCCGTTTATTCGTCCGCATCCGAGAAGACTAGAATATCTAACCATTTGTTGATGTTATAGAAAGGTAGAGATAACTATGATAGAGATAAACTTGCTTATAATAAGGATAACGCCCTCTGAATTAATGATGAGTCTGTTTACAGTCTCACCACTTGATTGCTGTATGGTATATCAATATTGTAAAGAGAAGCTACATGTTCATCACTTCTGTGATGATGGAAAATACGAAGATCCCACGTGTTATTTAATGAAAATGAATCTTATGAGCAACCAGGGAAACAATTTTTCTTTCATCTTGGTTTTTTTTTTTTATTTTGGTGATTTGCTATTACCAACCGCATGAGTAAACGTTCTAGTTATTTTCATTTACGTCTGTTTGTCTAGAAAAGTCTCATTTCATATTTTTACTTTTCTTTTCACGTCACCATCAGGATTTGAAAAAAAAAAAGGATGTCCTGTTCCTAAAGGTGAGCTGTTCGTTTGTTTTTATAGTTTCTACATGTTTATCATTTCTTAGTTTCATTTCCTACGAATTAAACAGATCTTATTATTTTACCAACCAAAACATTTGGAAAACCTGATAGATGAGTTGTTGAAGAAACGCGAATGTAATTGAATAAAATGAGAAGATTTTTCATTATCTTAAAACCAAAGCGTTTTGATAACGAGTGCGCGGTTAAAAAGCTGGGTAGCATCTTCGCCCTCTGCCCAGTTTTACTGCATTACAATCATAATCTTTTCAGTTTTGAAAACAACCATTGAGCAATCTTTGACAACAGTTATATTTTCTAATTTCATACATTTGAACGCAGTCAGAAATACCAGCACAAATCTATTTGTCTGGACATAGTTGAAAGGCTTCATACTTGTTTATTCTGTAGAATGTGATTATTTTTCGTTGGATTTATGCTCATCAAATTTGTCCGCCACAAAACAACAAGATCTATGTCTTGAAGATGGATATCTCCAGATCCATTTTAGATATACATCGATTTTCCCCGATTCTGAGTGAAACGAGAATGGAAACCAGAGCAGAGAGAGTCCCTGGATTTTGGAAGATATCAAAAGAAAGAATCATGATCCTGCCAGGATTTCACGCAAGAATTTTAGAAACATTCACGAGTCACATATATACACAGAAGGCAGAACTTCAAATCTCTCTGATTGTGCAAGTTTCTAGGAAGTTTTAGACTTCTCACGAAAATGACAGGAAATTCACGGGCTACGTATATTTCAAGAGGCAAATCACGCCCCACGCTGGTTCATAAGTTCAAGAATCACGCTCGCTTTTCTGTAAATTTCCTTTTTTCCTTTCGGCAAGAAATTCGAGCCGCTGCTTCATTAGACGTGAGAAATAATTTAAGACAATTACTCAATTGAATTACGTGAGTGAGTCACTGGTCACGGTGTATTTCAGTAATTGCTGTTATCGCAGATTACGCAAAATAAAATCATGTAGTTTGGTTCGGAAATTTTCATACAGGCTTGAATAGCTTAAGCTTTTGAAACTCAAATATAAACTGATAACAAAAAACAATTTTATTTTTAAAGAGTTTCTCATTAAAACGTTGACCCGGCGCTAATCAATATGATATTTGATACGTTGTTCACCTCTTTCGTCACGAGACAGAATAACTTGTCAGATTTTAGCCGTTCAAAATGTTAAAATGTAAAAATGCACGCGGGAGGTTTGCTAAGCACCCAAGAAGCTAGAGTCGCTCTCGGCTATCGCCTCGAGCGACTCTTACGCTTCTTTCGTGCTTAGCAACCTCCCGCGTGGATCCATAACTCAGTAGTGTACGCTGCGGTGTTTACCATTTGTTAATGCGAATGTAACCGCTGTTCTCTGGGTGAAACTTATTTAATAGCTGATCCAAATCTGCTCCAAGATTATTTGACTGAATTCAAACCAGCTGATTCCCTTGTGATTGGTTTGAATAAAGAGTGAAAAAGAAATGTTGCCCACAGACATTTGTGAAAAGGAAGAAAAGAACCACTTTCCTGAAAACTAGCTTAAGGACTCCAACAATTTTGTTAATACTGTTTTTTAAGTTTCCTTTTTTAATTCTATTCTACGACTACAAACAGGAAAGAGTGGTAATGAGTGAAGCTGCAAGAATCCTGAAATCAGTCCAGATAGGTTTAGATGTCGCCATATTTCTTCTCAACACTGATTGTGGCCCACAAGGGACCGAGTTATGCAATGAATGTGCAATTCTACTTCAAAACCTTGATTCTGGTACTCACCTTGATATCTCCGATGCACTATTCAATGCGTACAACGCCATCTCCGGTATCACAAATGCGGAAAGAGATGCCAACGAACTTCTATGCAAGTTCCACCTCGCTGGAGGACTAACCATACAACTAGGCGACAAATATAGATCACAGAGCCGGTTTGTAGAAGCAAAGCAACTCTTCAAAAGCGTACTCGCCCTCATGCAAACGATTGGCCACAAGAGGGGAGAAGTAGTGGCTCATGATAGACTTGGAAATGTATGTCTCAGTGTCGGTGAAATGCAGAGGGCAAAAAACCACAACCAGAAAGCTCTTGCCATCGCGATAGAAATTGGCGACAGAAAAGGAGAAGGAAGTTATAACGGGAACCTCGGATTTTTGTCTCATTCCCTTGGCGAATATCAGAAGGCTAAAGAATATTACAAGAAAGGACTTGCCATCGCTATACAAATTGGCAACAGATTTGGAGAAACAACAATCAGTGGGAACCTTGGATGTTTGTTTCATTCCCTTGGCGAATATCAGAAGGCTAAGGAATATTACAGGAAAGCACTTGCTATCGCGATAGAAATTGGCCACAGACAAGGAGAAGGAACAATCAACGAGAGCCTCGGATGTTTGTTTCACTCCCTTGACGAATATCAGAAGGCTAAAGAATATGAAGAGAAAGCACTTGCCATTGCGATAGAAATTGGCGACAGGCAAGGCGACGGAAGAATTAAGGGGAACCTCGGAACTGTGTTTTCTTCCCTTGGCGAATATCAGAAGGCTAAAGAATATTACAAGAAAGCACTCGCCATCGCAATAGAAATCGGCGACAGACGAGGAGAAGCTCAAAATTACGTGAACCTCGGAACTGTGCTTGATCCCCTTGGCGAATGTCAGAAGGCTAAAGAATATTACAAGAAAGCACTTGCCATTACGATAGAAATTGGCGACAGACAAGGAGAAGGAATAATTAACGCGAACCTCGGAACTATGTTTCATTCCCATGGCGAATGTCAGAAGGCTGAAGAATATGAAGAGAAAGCACTTGCCATTGCGATAGAAATTGGCGACAGACGAGAAGAAGGAATAATTAACAGGAACCTTGGAACTGTGATTTCTTCCCTTGGCGAATACCAGAAGGCTAAAGAATATTTCGAGAAAGCACTTGCCATTGCGATAGAAATTGGCGACAGACGAGGAGAAGCTGAAAATTACGCCAACTTCGGGAGTGTGTTTTTTTCCCTTGGTGAATATCAGAAGGCTAAAGAATATAAAGAGAAAGCACTTGCCATCGCGATTGAAATTGGCGACAGAGGATTAGAAGGAACAATTAACAGGGACCTTGGAGCTGTGTTTTTCTCCGTTGGCAAAAATGAGAAAGCTAAAGAATATCACCAGAAAGCTCTTGCCATCGCGATAGAAATTGGCGACAGAAAATCAGAAGCTAAAGTATACTGTAGTCTTGGAATTTATTATTCTTCCGTCGGAAAAAATCGGCAAGCTATACAATATTTGGACAAAGCGCTTGGCGTCAGTATAGCAACTGGTAACAGAGAATTAGAAGCTCGTGCTCTTACTACTTTGGCAGATGTTTTTGTTTCTGTCAATGAAAGTCAGAAGGCAAAAGAACATTGTGAGAAGGCACTTACCATCAGCAGAGAATGTGGCCATAGAAATGCCGAAGCACGAATTTACATTATGCTTGGCGAATTGTACCATTCGCTTGGTGAAAATGGCAAGGAAGAAGAATATTTGGAGAAAGCTTACTCCATAAGCAGCCAGCTTGGAGACAAAATGACGGAGTTTAGAAGCCTTTTCAGTATTACAAAGTTCAAGTTATCACATTCAGAATTTGCTGAGGCAAAGGAATATGTTCTTCGATGTATTGGAAAATACGAGCAAATCAGAACTTTTCTGAAAGGAAACAGTGAATTTAAAATGTCTTTGTTGGAGGAACGCGGTACTTTTCCCTACCAGATACTCACTCACTTGCTTTGCGATGCTAAAGAAATTCAAGATGCTCTCTATGTAGAGGAACTGGGACGAGCAAGAGTCCTCGCAGAATTAATGGCAGACAGGTACTCCGAGGTGAGTCAAATCTCAGCTAATCCACACTCATGGGTCGGGATTGAAAACATCGTGAAAAGAGAAAGTAACAGTGTTTTTCTGTATATTTCGTACTTCGAGCGGTATGTTTTTCTCTGGGTATTGAACGCAAATGGAGACATTTACTTTCGAGAATCAGACAAAGTGAAATTAAACACTCTTGATGCTGAGCAAGTTTGCGAAGTGGAAGGAATTTTAAAAAAGAGTGCCGCTGGCTTTGGCGTTTTACCCACAGCCAACTGCGAAGATCGATCTTTGCATGACAATGTGACGATATCTCTTCATGAAAAGAGCCGAACAAATTTACGAGGAGAACAAACCAAAGATACCGAAAGAATTCATCATTTGTGCTACGAATGGATCGTCACACCTGTAGTAGATTTACTTACAGAGCCTGAAATAATCATAGTTCCGGATCGTTTTATGTACCGAGTCCCATTCGCTGCCCTGCGTGCTGGACCCGCCGAAGAGTATTTATCGGAGAAGTACAGAATACGCATCCTCCCTTCTCTGACGACTCTCCAGCACATTCAAGAATGTCCAGTGGACTACCACAGTCAAAGTGGTGCACTGGTAGTGGGTGATCCTACGGTTGGCACAGTGTATTACAATGGACGTCTCGTTGACATTACACCATTGTTCTGTGCAAACAAGGAAGCAAGGATGATTGGTCAACTGCTGGACATTCGGCCTTTGTTAGGAGGGTGCGCAACCAAGCAGGCGGTACTTCAAGCAATACCTACAGTGAGTCTGATACATTTTGCCGCACATGGAGATGCCGAAAGAGGAGAGATTGCACTCTCCCCAAAAAGTACTGCCAACGGTATTCCACAAGAGAAAGATTACCTCCTGAGTATGTCCGACATTCAAGGAATTCAAGTTCGAGCAAAACTGGTTGTACTCAGCTGTTGTCACAGTGGGCGTGGATTGGTTAAAAAGGAAGGAGTTATTGGAATCGCTCGAGCATTTCTAGCATCTGGTGCACGTTCAGTGTTGGTAGCATCGTGGGCCATAGANCCCCAACTGTAAAAAAGTTAGCTTTCTTTTATAAAAAAAATCAACAATAACAACAATTAAATGATAATCTTGAAGTCGCTTTCGCACCGAGCATGGTATGTGCGACAATAATTTGGAAAGTTTGGATAATCATAACGAACGACATTGAAGAAGAAAGTAATTCCTTTGGTAAAAAATCTGTTCCGTTTGCTTTGAAGTTGAAGTATTGACAAATGCAATTTTTTTTTCAGGAAAGAAGAACTGAAAGGGGATAACAAAGAGGCAAAGAAAGAAACAGAGTGACAAGTGATCCTACACAAAGATTCTCCCACCTGTAAATTGATTTTAAATGGACACTAGTATTTTTCTGCGTAGACATTTTGATTTATTTTAGAGTCAAGAAGTCGATTTTTGCATACTTTTGGTAAACACGGTTGAATCGAAAGCAAGCGACAATGAAACCTGCAATTCAACCGTTAGATCTATTAAGAATATCAATAGGTAACTGAAATTGAAATCAAGATAAAAAATTGAACGCAGGAAATGAGCTTAATGTTTAAAAATGTAAAAATGTTGGCAAAGATTCGTCAAGACTCAAAATCATCATTGTTTTACATAACCATGATCTGGTTTTCAATTATCCCGTAGAAGGCAAACTTGATAATCAAGGAATGAATAATGTTCGCGATTGTAGGAGATAGTAACATAACAAACAAACGGAGGAGGGAACAAAAGGTGCGCGAGATACTTTATAATAATCTAAAAGTTAAAAGAAGAAGGAATGCAATATGCTCTAAACAAAAAATTGTAGCAAACAGAGAAGAAAAGAGAAACATTATGCAAATTGTTAAGGTAAAATAAGGAGAAAACATTGCCCGAGATACCATCGCAATAGTTAAACAGAAGAGTGCAAACTACCATTTCGCAGGATGTTAACGAGACAATCGGCCAGAATTCATAAAAAAAGACTAGCAGACTAGATTCTAATTTAAGATACAAAGGTAAATTAGAAAAACAGCGAGGCAAATATTAACTTGGAAATCAAACGGAGAAGAAAAAAAGTATTGCACAGGATTCTGACCCAAATTTCAATCAGAGAAGAGAACGTACTATGCGCAAGATACAAACAAAACAACCAAACGGAGAAAAGACAAAATCAGTATGTAATATATCCGTAACAAACAAAAGTAAAGGGAGGAAAAAGGGGACTAAACTTTGATGAAAACGTCATATTGGAAAGAAAAGGAAAATGTATTGCGCAGAACATTAAAGTAAAAGTCAATAAGAAGAAGGGAAGAAATAGTGCAAAAGGTAAACTGAAGTAACAAACTGTAAACGTGGGCATGTTACGCATGCGTGAGTTATGTTTTAGATGGGTGGGTTGAGATAAGACATTTTTAGCGAGTTATTTTTTCGATTTTGTAAAAGAAAAAAAGCGTTAACTTTCAAAGTTTCCAAGAAAAATACCGTTCGATAGAGAGAAAAAAATACCCTTCTAATTCATATGTAATAAACTCAGACATAGGCATTTTGTTCTCTGTTGTCACTGTTGTGTAAACAATTTTGATGTCACGCTTACTATAGCCTCCTTTACAGCCTTCTTTTGGTCTCGTCACACAACGCGCTCTCTTCCCCCGTGGCGTGACGAGACCAAACAACGGTTGCGATCAAGACTTTGCTTGCTCATATTGGTGCTTCGGCTCGAGCGTTTTTAATTTAACCGCAGAAAGCAAACCAAAATTTCATTTTATCTCCGGGAGACCTTAACCAAATATATTTCACGTTCTACATTTTTCGAATAAGAGAAGGTACATTGAATAAGGTAAAAAAAAAAAATTTAAAGGCTTTTTACGTGGGCATTACAACACGTGAGGGGTAAGGTGCAGTTGTCAATCTGGACTTTGCATTCTGCATGTGGAAGACGTGATTAAATACTGGTTGTTTACAAGGAAATCACACGTGATGGCGTGAAGTCTAGGGTAGCTTTAGGCGAATTTGATTGGTAGAAAACGGCGTCAAAGCACGTGAGAGTAGAGTGGAAAATTTACCAACTGTATCATCTGGTCTCATGAAAATTTGTTTTGTGTGAAAGGACAATACCGTAAAATTTAGGCTGTTTACTGGACAATGTCATTTTATGGGGGAAAGTCTAATCAATAGTGGCAAGAAAACACGTAACTGGTTCCGGAAAATAGCGTTTAAAAACACAAGATGTAACTCAATGAGAACTTCAAAACGTAAAGACACGGATATTAACAGGGCAGTCGACACAGAAAGTAAATTTAACTTGCTGATCTGTTTGACCTTGGCCAATAAAGCAACCACAAGGCAAAAACAAGATTATTGATCAAACATGCTTTTTGCAAATGTTTTCCGCAAAATTTTTGCAGAGTCAGCAAAACTAGCTATAGCCCTTACAAAACAAACGCTTAAATGATAACTTCATGTTAGACCTAAAGTTAAGGAACTTTTGTAACCCGATGTTATCGCGACAAGGCATACACAAAGGACATTTTATATTTCAACAATTCTTTGTTGATTTCGTTTTTAGTGTGTGGCAATGTTGGGTTGATTTCATCGCCACACTTTGTGCCACCCTTATTCCATGGCATGATTGACAAGAGGGACGATGTAATTCGGTTTCATCAACTGAGTCGATAATGTAAATTGGCCATAATGTGATGTAAATCCGTCGTACATTCAGCAGTAGGAGTGATCAGTTTCTGCCAACATTTAGAACTCTCTACTTGACCCTTGTGCGTCCCCATCCGTCCAAAATCTGTCACCTTAATATATTTTATCGAGGGTGTCCAACGACGTGTTACACGGCTTCTCCTGCCCAGGCTTCTCCTTCCCAGTTTAACCTACAACGAACGTCTTCAGCAGCTCAGTCTTCTCCCATTGGTGCACCGAAGAGAAGTTAAAGATATAATAACTTTTTGTAAATTGAAGTGTAATCTCTATAACTATTCAGTTGAAAGTTATTTTGAATTTTGCTCAGACCAAAGATTAAGGTCATATTCTAGTAATAAATTAAAGATTAACAAAGTCAGAACCGAATTATTTAAAGGCACTTTCTTTAATAGATTACCATATTTATGGCACAACTTGCCTGACAAACTTAGGACCTCAATGTAATGAGTTCTGTAAAAAGAAGAGCTTCGATGCTGGCCGCCCGCATATTACTTACCGAGATCGGTAAGACTTTTTAGAGTTGCAAAGGTTAAGTAGAGAGGGACT